TGCAGGTTTTTCAATTTAAAGTTAATATTAATTAAATCAAACCCAACTTTCGGGGCCACACGTAACATATTCCGGAACGTGGCCAACAGCTGCTGTGTGGGATGGGGGTGTAAGCACAGAGCCCATGTTTCACATATAACTTTACTGAGTTTTTAAAATCTATTTTTCCAGTATGCTGGAGACTGGAAGGAAGAAACAGAAGACGACTAGAACTGACTAGAGCTGAGCGTTCTTTCACGCTGACCCCGCTGACATGGCAGGTGCTACCCTAACAGGGAGGAGGAGAACAGAAGACCAGAAACACTCACTAAAAGCACAAGACTCTACAGCCAGTCAGTCGGAGGGTAAGTAATTCAGTACGGTCTTTGGTGTGTGTGTGTTTGGGTTTTGTTTTGGTATAGGGCCTCATTGCTCTGTAGTCCAGGCTGGCCTTGAAAGTATGTTTCTCCTGTCTCAGCCTCTCAAGGGCTGGGGTGACAGGCATGGGGCAACATTCCTGGTGCCACTGTACTCCCAATATACACTGAAAGTCTAAGTGGTTAATCGCTGTGAAATCATCTTCATAATGATGGCCTTGAACTATCAAGAAAACGGTAAATTCTACATATTAGTGTGCAAAGACAGAAAGTACACAATATTTGTCATGTTAAAAGTGACAAAAAGTCATGTTAAAAGTGTAATCATGTTAAGATAGTAAGCCTCAGTTAACTGGAAAATTCCTTTATGTGAAACACTTCATAATCTGATACTACCAGTTCAATAGGAATTACTCATTACCTTCAGAAAAATTCTAAACTTTGACAGATTTCAGCCATATGTCCTTTTCAGTCTAGCGTTTTGAATGTTGTCGCTGTATTCCGTAGCTTTATGTACTTCGTTTACAAATCCTCAAAGTATTTGTTCATCGTCCACAAGTCCTACTTTTTTTTTGAGACAGGGTCTTGCTACACAGGTCAGTTGGCCTTAAACTCACTATACTGGCCTTAAACTCACTCAGATTGGCCTCAAACTTGCACTGATCCTCCTGCCTCAGCCTCTTGAGTGCTGGCATTACAGGTGTGCGCCACCATGCCAGGCAGCGAGTACTATTTTAAACTACTTGACAGTTTACCTGGGTGTTACCTGGGCAGCACATTTGTGTACCTACTACTCCGAGTGTCACTTGGGCAGGTGTTATTTCAACCAGTCGATTATTAGATCGAATAAATTTAATAAACCTGTCATTTTTATATTTCCTGCTATATTATCATATAAAAATTAACAAATATGCAATTTTTGCTCATTCTGTATTTAAGTAGACCAGTAAGTGCTTAAAATAGATTCTCACTCACCCCCTCGATTACTTCTGTTGGTCTTTTTTGAACTTTTTCCATGTGCTCCATGAAGTGAGCCCGGTTAGAAATACATACAAAAATTCAAAGTACCTGGTTTGGTGTGAGAATTTATCTTCTCTTTTTTTAGGATACTAGAATTTTACAGCAATACACTTGGCTGAGATTCTGGGGACAGTCTACGACTATGCCTAAATTCAAGTCCTTCTCAGGCTGAAAGCAATATTCCACGATCTGCCTTCCTGAGTTGAATAGGAGATTCTTTTTCCTTAAATGCGACAGAGGAAAAACAACTGTGCTGGCCTCCACGTAACCGACTCACCAGATTAACCAACGCTCCCCATTCCCAGTAGGACTTAATGGCGATGCGCGCGGCAAGCCGTGCACCGGAGCTGCAGGCCCATCTCAGGCAGGCCCGTGCATTCTGGCTCAGCATCTGAGCCTAATATTTGTTGTGAATCTTGTATGTCTGCAAGCCAATTATGCCTATTGTACTTATTATAATAATTACTTTACCTAATTAAACAATTTTGTGAAGTAATAGGGTTTTCCGGAAACACTAAGAAAGCTGGAGGCAGATGATAACTAGCTGGGGATACTGGGACATTGTTCTTTTTTGGTCTGGGGAAGACACAGCTTCAACAATATATGAGTGTATTTTATGAATCAGAAGAGCCTGAAACAGAAGCAGTAGGCAAAGCCCCACCACAAACTGGGCAGCATCCAGGAACCTGCACCGAGGTCCTGCTTTATCCATCGTGAACTATGAGAGGACTCTTCTGTGTTCAGGCTTCTCCTGTCTATCTGCCATCCAACCCGAAATAATGCAACTACTATCTCACGGAAAAGTAAGTCTAAAGAGAGCTGCTTCTATTACAAAATGAGCTGAATGTTTTAGTTATGTGATAAAGGCAAACTGCTAAAAATTTTACTTCTACTTTGGACAAAAAGCAAAGGCTGATAAAATCAGAGATTTAGAAGGAATCTACATTCACACTGCTTTGCAAATACTTACATATTTGTGGTTCTTTAAAGAAAATGAAACTAGAATCTGCAGACAATACACTGTAGGCATACTTCCATAAAAATAATAGCAAGGAATTTTAATCAGTCTTTCCAATTCAAAGCAAAGGCCTTATTTCTAAAATAGATATGTATTTGTTTAAATTAACTAAAATGTTTGTTATATAGATGTCTTTATTTTCAAAAATGACTCCTTAGTTTAACAGACTTTGAAAATCAACTGAACAACTACCAGTCCTGGTCACATCAGATAAGACTGTCAGTTAAAACCCTGAAATTTCATTTGCTACCTTACTGCCCACTCCAAGACTTCATGTCCTTTCCCCCAGCTTTCCCATCTTGGCTTTATGCACCCTCTCCAAGATACTAAGATGACTCTAAAGATGCTAAGCATTTATAAACCTAAATTTTATGGGTCCCATTTTTTTATGACTTCATTTCCTATTTAAGATCTTTTTTGCTGTTTCTAGTCTTCAAGATAATTTTTGTACACAAGACAAGGTATTTTAGTAACCATGTTTGCAAAGCTTGTGGTGTACAACTTTATCAAAGGGATTATCTAAAGCACAGTTTACATGCAACAAAATGCGCATTTAAAGTGTTTACGATCTGATGAGTTTTGACAATACACCCGTGTAGCTACCACTCTAACCAAGATCTGAAACGACAGCATTCCAGAAAATTCTGTAGTTATTATTACTATTGTTATTATTATTTTTTGCAGTCGATTCCTTCTTCTTTCCTGGCCCCGTGGAACCAATGATCTGCTTTCTTTCTTTCTTTCTTTCTTTTTTGGTCTTTTCGACACAGGGTCTCACTGTGCAGTTTAGGCTCCCGCGTCAGCCTCTTGCCTCAGCCTCCTGAGTGCTGGGATTACAGACATGTGCCACCATGCCTGGACGATCTGCTTTCTTTTAATGTAGTATGTTCCCTTTATTCTTGGTTTGTTTTTCTTCCAGTACCAGGAATCAAACTCACGACCTTGCTCTTGCCAGGCAGGTGCTGTGCCGCTGAGCTAAATCCCCAGCCCCTGTAGTATGTTCCCTTTTTCTAGAATTTTATACAAATGGAGCCGTACTTTTTGTTTTAATGCACTCATCTGGGTGTGCTTAGCAGTAGTTTGTTCCTTAATGCTGAGTAGTGAGTGTTCTATTATATGGGTGGATTTATAGTCATTTACTGATTAATGTTAGGCTGCTATGAATAAAACTGCTATGAATATTCATATTCATATTTACCCAAGCTCTGGGAGAATGTAAATGTACTCTTTTCTGGGCTCAATATTTAGGGATGGGATTGGTAGTTTACATGCTAAGTATATTTAACTTTAAAAGAAGTTGCCACTTTTGTTTTCCACCGTGTCAAGCAACAATGTAAGAGAAAGTCACTTGCTTTACATCTCAAAGGCTTTTACAAAAGGCCATAAGTCAGTCAGTCAGTCTTTCCATATGTGCTCATTAATTTATCCTGATGGCTGCTGCCCGTTAGTAATGTGCTGTGTCCTCTTTTCTCTGCAATAGCTCGAGCTTATCTAATCCTCACCGGCTGTTCCGGTTTGGGTCTTAAACACCCCGAGGGCTCATGTGCTGACAGCACGGTCCCAGCCGGTGTGCTCTTGGGAGGCCGACTGGTGGGAGGAAGTGGGTCACTGGGGGCGTGTCCCTGGAGGGTGTATTTTGTCCCTGGCTCCTTCCCCTTTCCCTGCTCCCCGGCTGCCGCGAGACCAGCGGCTTTGCTGCACCCATGCTCCTCGCTGTCACGCTGCTGCCCCACAGGCCCGCAAGCCATGGAGCCGTGTGACCACGGACGCGAGCTCAGGACACTCTGGCCAAATAATCCTTGTAAGCTGATTTTCCCACACAGTCGGTCACAGCCATGGAATGCTAACACAACAATGTGTACTGACACCCAACAATGTGGATACCCAACAATGCATACCCAACAACGTGGACTGATCTCTACTTTTCTGATATGACCACTGACTTTCAAAAACAGCATGGATGGAATTTACTTGCTGGCTTTGTACAGTTATGTCTAAAAAACACCGTTTAAACGTATTTCCAGCTTTTCACATATAAGCCTTAGCAAATTCCTAGACATTGTGTGCATTATTTTGTGTCTTCTCTGGCTTTTTCTTTTTTTTTTTTTTTGCATTTTCCCTATTCTTCATGAACACTTAAATTTGTATTATTCTTACTCATTTGGGGAGTAAAAAATAATTTTAAACACATATTTAACATTCATTCTTTAAGAGTACGTATCTTATGATGCCTTTTCACTTTTTTTTTTTTTTTTTAAAGACAGGGTCTCATATGTAGTCCAGGCTAGCCTCGCATGGTATCCTCCTGCTTCAGCCTCCTGAGTGCTAGGATTACAGGCATGCACCACCACACCCGGTATTATTTACTGAAATCACAAAAATGAAACCCTATACATGTAGATGCTAAACGTATTTCTCTTTTCAGAAGCTTGTACTCCTGTAGTCTGTTCACTTATTCGTTTCTTGCAGATTGTATTATACAAATAATATTTTTTGAATGCACAATGATTTCTTGACATTTCACATGTAAACAGTGATCATATTTTTAATTTTTATGGAAATGTGCTGTACGATAACCCTAAAATGACTCACATCTATCTACTTACCTTAAAAAACTCCTTTTTCTCAATCATCTCATTGCCATCTGTATCTAACATTTTAAAAGCCACATGAAAACCAGTATGGGGTTCTGCAACAAAGGGAAAAATAAGTAATTATTCAAAAGCTAGTGAAATGCAAATTCTTTGCAGATAGACACGTCTTCAGATTTGAAATAAACCACCAGAAACTACACGAGCAAGTGCTTGAACAGAGAGAGACCAGCGCTCTCCCGTTTCCGGAGGTCTGAGGGCTCTGCCCCGCCTGCTCCAGCTTCTCTCCGCGAGCCGCTGCACACAGCTCTGCTCCGCAGTGCAGTCATGTGAGAACTTACTTCTTTAACTCTGCTCATGGTGCAGAACCTCGGTTACTTCTGCTTTCTCCGAGTAGTATTTTCTAGACTTTCTTTTGTCGTCGTTGTAGATGTACAGAAATGTCACACAGTAGAGTCTCCGCCTACTTTCTACCCTGCTTCTTCTCATGTTAACGCCTTACATACTCACTGGACACTTCTCCAAATTAAGAAGTTACAAGTGGCGTAAGATTAAGAACTAGACTACCACCTTTATCTGGATTTCATATTTTTTCACGAAGGCTTTCTTTCTACAGTCAAATACAAGACACCTGTTGCACTTAGTTTCCTGTCTCCTTGGTCTCCTCCACTGAGGGGCGCCTCTCAGTCTTTCCCTGTTTTTGTGACCTTCCCTTCACACGTTTGAAGGGAGCTGGTCAGGAGCACTGTACAATTCTGTACAGCGTCAGGTACCCCTGTGTATCCGTCGGTACGTGTGCGCCTGTGGAGAAGCTGCTGTCCGCGTGCACAAGAAGGCCGCCATTTTGTTCTGCTCAACAGACTTTCTATTCAAGACGCAAAGGGATGCCGCGTGTGTGGGAGGCAGAAGAGCCCTAACCCTAACTAACATTTCATAGATACAAAAGCTAAAGGACTAATTTTTTTTTTAAATGATAAATGCTAAACTTCAAAAATCCTTTTTGGCAAGAGTAAGCGAATTCCACCTGACAGTTGTGACGGTTGCAGGATACTTACTAGTGAGGATTGTAAGCAAGAAAAGATACTCAGTGTATGAAATCAGCCCTGAAAGAGAAAATGAGAACATCTTAGGAAACAAACTGTAGATGGTTTAGAAGCGTAAAGATATTAATATTGAAACCACCTAAGTCTAAAAAGCACATTTTTATTTTAAACCACTCTCTTTAGTTCAGCTGAGACATGCTACGGTCCTAAGAAAAAAGAAAAAAAGATACTCTAAGTTACTATCACAGTACTAGTAGGCAGAGGGTGACAGCTTTAAGTGTAAACTTCGCTGTCCGAAAGTTCCCAGGTGAAGTCCCTTTGGGTGTGTCCATGAGGATACTTCCAGGTGGGGTCAGCATACGAACTGGTGGAGTCCGCACAGTAGGCTGCCCTCTCTGATGGGCAGGCTCTGTCCCACCCAACAAAAAGCAGAGGAGGGTTCGGCTGCCCCCCTTTTCCTGCACATGTCCTTGATGTCCTTCCAAGGAGGAATACATGCCAATGCGTGTAGTTAACCAGACGTTTTAGTTAACCACTCACCTGACACACATCTGAGCTGTTTCGACCTTGTGGGTGCTGTGCATAATACAGCTACAATCAACACGGCACAAGCAGCTGCAGGAGCCCGGCTTTCACTTCTTTGGGCACACCCTCAGAGCTGGAACTGCTGAGCCACATGCTAATTGTATGTGTAACTGCGTGAGGAACTGCCTGCCATTTCCACAGCAGCTGCATTTCACATTCCCGTCAGCGATGCACAAGAGTTCCGCATTTATCCACATCCTCAACACTTGTTCTTTTCTGGCTCTGTCTTTGTATAACAGTCATCCTAACGAGGGTGAAGTGGTATCTCATGGTTTGATCTGCATTTCCCTAATGATAATTAATGCTGAAGATCTTTTCATGTATGATTAGCCATGTTATAACTTCTTTGCAGAAATATCTATCCAAGTCCTTTGCCTATTTTTGCTTGCTTTTTGTTGTTGCTGGGTTGTCAGAGTCCTCTTTATGTTCCCAGTATTAACCCTTTATCATATACAGTAAAACGGTGGATTGGGAGTCATTTGTTCTGAGTGTTTTTACAAGATAAGCAAATATTTCTAATAAATTTTAAGGAGACAGATGAGTGATGTCTTGCAATATGAGTAGTATGTGAGGCCGAACGTCACACGATCATAAATGAGCTGATGGTCCCCCCACACCTTGCTGCGGGACTGTGGGCGGTCATCTCCCAATGCCAAGAGGTTTTGGTGACGATCTTACTGGCAAAGGACGAGGAGAAAAAGGCAGAGGGATTCCCCACTTCAAATGAGATTAGGGAGATGTGTAAAATATGGGAAACAGTGAAAAATTCTGTAGAAAAGCACCACCCAAATAAGGCTGTAGTAGTGCCAGTAATGAATCTGTTTAACAGTAATGCGACGTCATTCCTATGAACTCCTCAAAGAGGCAAAAGTAATTGTCACTGGATAGGTTCCTTGTTAAAGCTGCACACGAGGAAAAAGATTCCATGAAGCCAAGGACAGCATGGCTCCACTAGTTATTGGGAAAGTCGTCCTACGTAGTAATCCTCCTTTCTCATCTCCCTCATTCCGGCCAGGAAGGTTTTCAAGGCAAGTACAGGTTAATTCATTTATTTTTCTCGATCTATTTTCTTTATTACTTTGTATAACAATATTGTAATCATTTTTTGTATGAGTATTGTTGGGTTGTGGAACAAATCATCTGCGTTTCCATGATTTCTTTAGAAAGTCTTAAAGCTTAAATTTTTATTTCATGATTTTTGTCAGCTTAATGTAAAATTGGATAAATAACAATGTTGACTTATGAAGGGTCAAAAAAAATGAGAAATATTTGACCTAATTACTAAAAAAAAAAAGAGAGAAAAAAAGGGACAACAAAGAACTATTACATAAGCTTTTGTATTTTAAAAAAAAAATTGTTGTTAAAAATACAGTAAATATTTGTTCAAACTGTGGATGACAGTGTAAATTAAGTTTATTGCCTCTGACCCACCATTTCACTTTTATGAATATATGTTAAGGAAGTTTTTAGATTATACAATGACTTCTGTAGAAATGGTTCCAATACTCAGAAACTGGGAAAAATTAAGGCCGCAATGATTACTATTTTAAATTCATGTTCTATAATGTTACCACTTAAAAACACTATGTCTAAAAAATACTTTGACAAGAATTTATAATCTTCTTTCTTAGCATCAAAGTTAATCATTTTATGTTTGCTTAAGTTATTTTATAATTTGAGATTTGTCTACAGTGATGTGATACTTTTATATCTTTAAAAACAGATTTAAAAATATGTATTTTAGAAAGAAATGAAGACCTACTGTGTCTGGTAAAGAAAGGCATGTTTAAAAATCTACTAAGATGAAGCTCTACTACAAAATCCTATATCAAATAAGCATAGTAAAATAATTCTTGCCTTTAGAAAGGAGTTTTCTAAATTTCTGTGTTGCTCTTAGCTGCTGATCAGTATCAGTAGAAAAAAACCACCTGAGCCTTATCTTTCGTAGGAGCCCCTTTCTCTGCAGGAAGGGGTATGGTGGAACTGATTCCTGGGCTGTTTGCTGTTGTTCAGTATCAGTAGAAAAAACCACCTGAGCCTCATCTTCCGTAGGAGCCCCTTTCTCTGCAGGAATGGGTATGGTGGGACGGATTCCCGGATGTGGAAAGGACTTTCCAGCAGGGTCCTTGTTTCTGCATTTGAACAAGTGTGTGCTCTTCCCATCTATATTTTTGAAGCTGTATTTCTTCTTCTCTCCTTTTATGCATCTCTTGAGGATTTAGGCCTTATGCTTGTAACTTTTCATTCTGTAGTGACCTTTTCCTAGACTCACCATGAAATCCACTCCTAGGGACCGGTCAAGCTACAGCATGGGGAAATAGCACAGCCTGTCCTGTGCGCTACACTGGCATAGAGAGCCCTTCCCAGTCCTCGCTGCGGCCCAGGAAGCTTGTATTTGTGATCCCATGGAAAGTTATTGGAACTCTAGAGAGTTGATTCCAATCTATTACTTTTAGTGCAACCCATGGCGAGAATAAAGACACGAAGGCATATCTGTAGTTATGGGGAGCCAAGGGGCCCTCAGTCCAGCCACAATGACTGTCATCCAGAACAAAGGCCTTGGCCCAGGGCCGAACCCGGGTTTCATGTGTTCATGAAGAAGCTTGAGGATGAGTGACTGTGAGAACTGTGGGAAGCGGGTGAGTGCCGTGAGCTGGGCCAGGTAGGAGGCCCGAAATCACCTCTGCAAGTGCAGAGAGAAGGATACGCAGAAAGAGTCATCTGCATCACACAGCTGAGATAGAAACTGATGTTTTGGGGTCGGTGCTTCAGCTCTGAAGTGTACCTTTCAAGCTCCAGGAAGTCAAAGCCTCTAACCCCAGGCTAAGGCTCCACCCCAGCCTCACATCCTGCCTCATCCAGGCTCACTCGTGGGAACAATGCAGCGTCCAGGGAGACAAGCCTGCCTGCCATCTCCAAAGACTACCATCAGCACCTTGGCTGGTCCGATACGCACTGCCTGAAGCCAACCGAAGGGACAGGGAAGGGTCCTAGCCAGCTCTGCTCGCATCAACACATGGAAGAAGGGTCAGGCTCAGCCAAAATGGAGGCAACCGCTCCTCTTTCAAGAAGAGTCGCCTGGGTGGTCCTCCACACCCTGGCTCACTCCCCAGGATCAAGCTTCCATTACTTTGTAGGGGAAAATCTGCTTTGTATACAAGTGCTTTCGATTACAAGCACGTTTCCAGAATGAACTATGCTTACAAACCAAGGTTCCACTGCATGTGATCTGAACGTATTCTCCATTTGGTGCATGACCTTACCTTTTCATTCTCCTACGTTCTTTGATTCATGAACATTCTTTGTTTTCTTTTTTATGGTGCTGGGGATTAAACCCAGGGCCTCACGCATGGTAGGCAAGTCCTCTACCACTGAGCTACCTGTCCAACCCATACAAATTCTTAATACTGATGCAGTCTAATCTGTTTCTAAGTTTTGGTTTGTTCCCTTTATTTAAATTTCTTATAATTTATAGCTTCTCCCCAGTCTTTTCCCCTTTGAACCTAATGAAGCTGATCTCTTGTTCTACAAGATTTCTAACAGTCAAAACTTCTGACGACTACTTCCTTAATACTCTTTCACACATTCTTTTAACTTCTGTATTTTCTATAAACTGGTGCTCAGATTCAGAGATGTGCTAAGATTTGAGAATTCTTTATAGATGTTTTATACTTCTATTAGGGGCCAAAACACAGGTGTTTATTGAATGCCAGACAGTCAGCAAGAGTTACACTATAGGACAATGTGAAATCATCTCCAGAGTTTATATTGTCACAGGCGTCAAAGAGGAAGTAATTCTAAAGGCAGTCTATGCAGATGAATAAAAATTAAAAAAAGATACCCGAGACGAGGTCTGTCCGTGTTGCCCAGGCTGATCCTCCTGCCTCACCCTTCAGAGCAGCTGGGACTACAAGCAAGTTCCGCTGCCCCTGGCTTAACGATGAAGTTTAACTAAGAGGGGCTGGTTCAGGTGGGAAGCCGTGCAACAAAGAGGAAGCACAGGACGAAAACTGACGGTGACTGTAGTTATACTCATGGGGAGAAGCAGTGGGAAGGGAGGCCGCGGTGGAGGCCAGGCGGAGGCGACCGGAGGGAACACGCGGGCTCTGCTGTGAGGGGGGCCGTTCCCCGACGGCTCCAGCTGCCAAAGAACAAGGCAGGGACTCAGGGCCCAGCACGGCCCAGAACGAGGACGGAAGATTTTATATCTGCATGAGCCCATGCGTTAGCTGTAAGGGACTTCAGGTACGTATTTTAAATGTTTTAAATGAGTTACTCTTTTTACATTACCATCTCTTTGCTGTTTTTATTTAGAGCAGGTATAATACTAAATACTCTTTAATACTAAAAAAGTCTACATGAAGTCTTCAAATTCATTTATCTTACAACTATGCAGTGTTTATATGAAGGGAGAATAAATTAAATGTGTTTTGTCATATCGTGTACCTGGGAAAAACGCTCTAATGTTAGTCGAA